CACACACAAACACACGCACACATAGACACATAAGCACTCACACACACACATGCACCCTCTCATGCACACACAAACACATGCACTGTCTCTCTCACACACACACACACACACAGACACACACACACAGACAAGCAAGCACTCTCACGCACACACACAAACACATGCACTCTCTCTCACACACACACACTCACACATGCACTCTCTCACACGCACACACTAACACATGCACTCTCTCACACACACACATGCACACATGCGCGTGCACGCGCACACACACACACACACACACACACACACACAAATAGAGTAACTGGATAATGGTTGGATAGTCTTTTTTTGTTGGTTAGATGGGGCATAATCACTGGACAGAACTTCTGCAAAAGTGATCACATGGGAATCTGGCTCCATGCTTGAGAAGGCAGTATCCACAAATGTGGAGCTGGAAAAGCACAGCAGGTCAGACAGCATCTGAGGAGCAGGAAAGGCAACGTTTCAGGCCGAAACCCTTCGTCAGGCACATGGGACGATGGCTTGACACTTCATTTGAAAGGCAGACCATCCAACAGTGCTGCTGTCTCTCAGTACTGGAGGGGGTCTGAGTCCCTAGTGTGTTAACGTGCTAGCCACTTGGGTATGAGGGGAAGAGCTAGTCACCCATGTTCTCTTACTCAATGACAGATGCTTGATCCACTGAGATGTCATTATTACTAAGTGATTTTGATTGATTAATTTATTGTTGTACAGTGAAAAGTGTTGTTTTGCGTGCTATTCAGGCAGGTCGTACCATACAAAGTGCTTCAGGGTGGCAGATCAGAGTGCAGAATGCAGTATTACAGCCTTGGAGAAGGTGAAGAGGGAGTGAATTAACATTTGAGAGGTCCATCCGAAAGTCTGATAACAGCAGCGAAGAAGCTGTTCTTGAATCTGTTTGTACATATATTGAAAACTTCTACATCTTCAGCCTGTTGGAAGAGGGTGGAAGAGAATATAACCGGGGTAGGAGGGGAGGGGTTTTTGAATACTCTAACAACTTTGCCCAATTCACTTCTAAGCTGCTTGAATGGACTAAAACAATACTTGAACCTTTAATTATTAAAAGGAATCTACTTCTCAATGAATCAGAAATTCCTGAATTTCTTCATAACCACTCACCCTTTATGTAATTACCACTTCTATAAGAATTAGGAGCAGGAGTCGGCCATCTAGCCCAACAAGCCTTATTGAATGGTGGAGCAGGTTCGATGGGCCAAATAGCCTACTCCTGCTCCTGTTTCTTATGCTCTTATGTCTGTAAGGCTGCATCCCATCTTGAGTCGCAAAGTCTTAATGATTGTGCAGAGAAGTGACAGAGCAGGAAAGAGAACGATGCAGATCCTGTACTGCAGATTCCAGTAGACAATGGGGTGTCTTGCCTCGAGAGCTCAAAAATCTGAGGCCGGGAATTGGGGCTTTTTAATCACGCGAGCAAACATAGCACAAAGGCATGATCCTGCGTGGACCCTCATCTTTGAAATGAGGGTTCAAGTTCTACAACAGATAACTAAGCATACAATCGTTGAGAAATAACCCAATCGATCTCCATCAATCAAAAACAGATTATCTGGTTGTTATTACATTTCTGTTTCAGGGAGCTTGCTGCGTGTAAATTGACTGCTGCATTTCCTAATTACATCAACAGCTATTCCTCAACAAGGCTTTGTTGTGGCCTCCTCCTGCTCCTATCTTCTATGTTTCTATGTTTGTCATTCATTCTTCCTGTGTTCCTGATGGCTCCTTGCTCCTTCTGTCTGACAGTTCGCAACAGTTGGAAAAAGAAATACTTTGAATCGAAGAAGCTGACTGCCCCTTTAGAAGAAACATCATGCAGGTTACGGAAGGAGCTGGAACAGCATTACCTGAAACTGCTGCAGCACCTGGAGGCCAGGGACTCGAGAAAAAGGCCCAGAAAGTCAACCAGCACTAGCGATCCCAAAGTAAATGCTGCTCATTTGGACAATCCAACCATTGTGATAATATATTGAACTGAGAATCACACAATTGCTACAGTGCGGAATGAGGCCATTCCTGCTGCAACTGTCCCAGGCATTAGTGAGACTGCAGCTGGAGTACTCTGTGCAATTTTGATCCCTTTACTTGAGGAGGGATGTGGTTATATTGGAAGCAGTCCAAAGGAGGTTCACTAGATCGATTCCAGAGATGAGGTGTTTGGTGAGGCATCGATTCCAGAGATAAGCAGTTTAGGCCTATACTCCCTGGAGTTCAGAAGAATGAAAGGAGATCTAATTGAGGTCTATAAGATGCTCAAGCAGATTGACAAAGTAGACGTAGGAAGGATGTTTCTTCAAGTGGGGCAATCTAGAACGAGAGGTCATAGTTTTAGGATAAAAAGGAGCAGATTTAAAATGGAGATGAGGGGAAATGGCTTCTCCCAAAGGGTCAGGAATCTGTGGAATTCACTCCCTCAAAGTGCAGTGGATGCCGAGATATTGAGTAAATTTAAGGAGGGGATAGATAGATTTTTAATGAGTAATGGGTTGAAGGATTATGGAAAGCGGGTAGGTAAGTGGAGATGAGGCGGAGGTGAGCCATGATCATATGAAATGACGGAGCTGAATGGCCTAGTCCTGCTGCTAGCTCTTCTGTTCGTATGAATATCAATATTCTATGTTTTTCCTTTCCATAATATGTCAGCAGTAATTGTCCAGGCACATAATGGGGCTACTAAAACAAAGTTGCTGGAAACGCTCAGTAGGTCTGGCAGCATCTGTGAAGAAGAAAACAGAGTTAACATTTCGGGTCCGGTAACCCTTCCTCAGATGGGGCTAACTGTCAGGACATGAGGAAGAAGTAACTGGATAATAAGATAAAAATGCTGCATTCATTTCTCTAAACGTTCAGAAAATAAATTAGAATGGGTTTGAACTGCTAGTGTTGTGTTAGGAATTACATGATTTTTCTTATAATATATGGTTGGCCTTCTGTCTCCCAATCACACTTAAGACCATCATTAGGGGCATGGGTTCAAGATCAAGCACCTCCAATGTTGTTTCTGGGATCTTACAGTGTGTTTAATTACTGCCGAGTTTGGCTGCCTACTCAAGGCTTTCGTAATCTTTGTTTCCTTTTTTTTGTAAGACTTTATGATGCTTGGTGCAATGATATCAATACAAACACTGATGATGTTCTTTTACAGAACGAGTTAATTATTCAGATTACAACACTCAAGCATGAGATTGATCAGCTGTACAGAAGTGTGGAAAATGCCAAAATGAAGCTAATTACTGAGATAAAGGTACAGTATTCTAGTCATCTACAGACTATATGGGTAGACTTTAGCACCAAAATTATTTTCATGAACACACAATAGAGGTTAGAACAACACAACCATGTTTTTCAGCAGGTTAATAAGACCATAAGACCTAGGAGCAGAAATTAGGCCATTTGGCCATCGAGTCTGCTCTGCCAGTCAATCATGGCTGATAAATTTCTCAATCCCATTCTCCTGCCTTGTCCCCTTAACTTTTGATCCCCTTAACAATCAAGAATCTGTTTATCTTCATCTTAAATATACTCAATGACCTGGCCTCCACAGCCTTCCATAGGTTCACCACTCTCTAGCTGAAGAAGTTTCTCCTTATCTCCAATCTAAAAGGTCTTCCCTTTACTGTAAGGCTGTGCCCTTGCGTACTAGTCTCTTCTGCCAATGGAAACATCTTCCCAACATCCACTCTGTCTAGGCTTATCCACTTAACCCAAACATCCCTGGATGCGATGGGCAATTTATCATGGCCAATCCACCTAGCCTGCACATCTTTGGACTGTGGGAGGAAACTGGAGCACCCACAGGAACCCAATGCAGACAGGGGGAGAACATGCAAACTCCACACAGACAGTCGCCTGAGGCTGGAATTGAACACAGACCCCTGGCGCTGTGAGGCAGCAGTGCTAACCACTGAGCTAATCTGCCACCCCAGTATTCTGTAAGTTTCAATTAGATACGCCCCCACCCCCGCCAATCCTTCTAAACTTCATCAAGTAAAGACCTAGAGACCTCAAACATTCCAAATATGTTAAAGCTTTCATTCCTGGATCATTTTCGTGAATCTCCTCTGGACCCGCTCCAGAGCCAGTACAAGCAGCATCAGAGGAGCAGGAAGGCTGACGTTTCGGGCCTAGACCTTTCTTCAGAAAAACCCTTCATTTTTCCGAAGAAGGGTGTAGGCCCGAAACGTCAGCCTTCTTGCTCCTCTGATGCTGCTTGGCCTGTTGTGTTCATCCAGCTCTACACCTTGTTATCTCAGATTCTCCAGCATCTGCAGTTCCTACTATCTCCAGAGCCAGTACATCCTTCTTGAGATATGAGGCCCAAAATTGCTCACAATATTCTAAATGTGGTTTGACCAGAGCTTTATAAAGTTTCAAAAGTACATCCGTTTTTATATTCTTGTCCGATCTAAATAACTGCCAACATTGTATCTGCCTTCCTAACTACCAACTCTACCTGCAAGTTAATCTTAAGAGAATCCTGGACTAGGACTCCCTTTGCACTTCAGATTTCTGAACTTTCTCCCCCTGTGGGTTAGGCATCGCTACTTTAGCTTATATCTATGTATATTTATAACTATTCTCTTACATTAACCCTATTTACAATGCAGGATTTTCTTTTGAGGAGGAGTTAAGTAGTTTGGGTCTGTCCTATTGGAGTTCAGAAGAACGAGAGGCCTTAGGGGACTTGACAGGGTCGATGTGGAGAGGTTGTTTCCCTTTTTGGAAGAGTCTAGGACCAGAGAGCATCATCTCAGAATAAAAGGCCACACATTTAAGACAGAGATGAGGAAGACTTTTTTTCCCTGAGAGGTTAACATATTGGTGGAATTCTTTACTGCAGGGGGCTGTTAAGGCTGGCTCATTAAGTATATTCAAGGCTGAGTCAGACAGATTTTTAATCAGTAAGGGAATCAAGGGTTCTGGGGAAAAGGCAGGAAAGTGGACTGGAAGATGATCATATCGGCTATGATCTCACTGAGTGGTGAGCAGTATAATCATTTATAGTGTATGAGAAGACAGTGCTGATTGGTTGGCAAGTGAACTCAGTAGCAGTATGCACCAGTTTGATGATGACTGATAGTAAACTGCCAAGTTTTATTTCAATTGTTATTAAAATTATGCTTCATCATCATTAATGCAAATAATATTGAAGGTTGCAAAAGGCAATTAGCATACTCCTGCTTCTATTTCATTGTTTCTATTCAGCCTCTTGTGTCTGTGCCAGTTATAAGCATAGTTATATAAAACGTAACATTTTTAAATGAGTGTGTTCGTGCTTTGTACGGTGGCTGTGTGAAAATATGCTCACTCTTTTCAGCTGAGACAGGTAGTAGAAGTTGCCATGTCATTCAGTGAACTTTTGGTAATAGCTTGATAACTCCTATTGCCTTTACAGCTGAGAAAACAGACATCTACAGATCTCCGAGCCCTCCGTGCTGAACTTGCACAGAAGAAAACCCAGTCATCCCTAAATCGCCTGCATGGTGGCTCTGTAACTCACAGTTTGAATGTTTTAGTGACTTAACCAAAACGAGACTGTGTTACCTTTGATCTCTTAGCCCTCCCTATGGGATCTTGCTTCAATTGGTATCCATGTTTCCTGATTTCACTCAAGTGATCCCATTTCAAAAACCATTTCACTGCCCGTGAAGCACTTTAGGACATCAAGGGGTTGTGAATGGCGCTATATAAATTCATGTTCTTCCTTTGCCTCTGTTCAGTTTTGACAAGACAAATACCAAAGCCACCTCACCGTTTCTGATTTACTTGCATATTCTGAAAGACAACCAAATTTGTTCTGTTTTAATTGATCTTTCAATTTATTTAATGCAAACTCTTAGAGTGCAGTAGAAGGCTGTAAAGTTGATTCCCCATTTGCAGCTGCTGAAACATGCGATTGTGTAATAGCATCGCTCAGCGAAGGTAAGAAATGGCCTGTATGAAGACAGGCAAAAAAAACCCCAATAAGTTCCAAAGAGGAAAGGAAGACACTTTTTATTTAAATTGCAATGATTCAAGGAGACAACTCACCAGCATTGTCTCAAGGCCAATAAGGAATGGGCAATAAATGTTCAGTCAGCATCAATGGCTCATTATATTTTGAAATGAATCATTATTTTCTTCTTTCTTGTGGTTAATGTAAATGTGGACCAGCAGCTACAATTTTGTCAAGTTACAAAATTAATAAATTGTAGGAATTTGAAAGGCAAGATAGTTCGTACTTCAGGATTTTGAAACTTTACTGGCATTTGAAAAAGAATGGACTTATTAGGGAGAGTCAGCATGATTTTATGTGGGGGATGTCTTATCTCACAAACTTGAGTTTTTTGACCAAGTCCAAAGATAATTGTTTTCACTAGTGCTTTGGAGACTGAGGGGGTGAGCGCATAGAAATATATAAAACTATGAGAGTATGGATAAAATGGATAGCTGGAGTCTCTTTCCCAAGGTGGAAATGTAAAATATCAGGGGCCATAGGTTTAAGGTGAGGGGGTAAAGTTTAAAGGAGATGTGCAAAGCTAGTTTTTTTTATGCTGAAAGTGTTAGGCACCTGGAATGTGCTGCCAGGGGAGGTGGTAGAAGCAATATTATAGCAACATTTAAGAGTCATTTAGACAGACACATGACCAGGCAAGGAATAGAGAGATCCGGAGCATGTGCGGGCATCTCTCTGCCTTAAAAATATTTACAGATTCTGCATCCACTGTCTTTTGAGGAAGGAAATTCCAAAGACTCTCAACCCTCAAAGAAAATAAAAATCCTCATCTCTGTTTCAAAAGGGTGACCCATTATTTTAAAACCATGAATTGTAGTTCTAGATTCTGCCACAAGAGGAAGCATCCTTTCCACATCCACGCAGTCAAATCCCTTCAGGATCTTATAATTTTCAATTAAGTCACCTCCAACCTCCAGGGGATATAGGGCTGGCCTGTTTAACCTTTCCTCATAAGGTAATTCATTCATTTCAGACTAGTAAAGTATAGTAAAACTCCAAAATTTGTTGAAGCTTTTTTGTCTCACACTCATCAGAATATTCACAAGAAATATTAATGTAACTGTTTTATAGTGTATGAGAAGACAGTGTTGATTGGTTGGCCAGTGAACTCAGTAGTAGAAATGCTTCCAGGAAGAATGCACCAGTTAGACGATGACTGATAGTTAACTGCCAAGCTTTGTTAAAATTGTTATTAAAACTATGCTTCATCGTCATTAATGCAAATAATGTTGAAGGTTGCAACCAGCAAATAACAAATAGATGATGTGTTTTTACGCAGCATGATATTGTAAAAGTTGGAGTGCATTGCGTTCGTCGTTACTTGCAAAGAGGTATAAAGAAGAAAAATTGCAGACCTGTTGGGGAAAGCAACGATAGTGTTGTGTATTCAATGGTTTCTTGTACTTTTAATATGTCTCAGAGTTGTGAAAATATGATGATAGTTTCAAAGTGTGCAACAGGTTTATTTATGTGTCCTTTTAAATATCACTGCAATCACAAAATGTTTGTACTTTTCTTTTATTCATTAACGGGATGAGGGCATCACTGGCCAGGCAGCATTTATTGTCCATCCCTAATTGCCCAGAGGGCAGTTCAGAGTCAACCACATTGCTGTGGGTCTGGAGTCACACGTAGGCCAGACAGGGTAAGAATGGCAGTTTCCTTCCCTAAAGGACATTAGTGAACTCATCCCTATCTAGCTCCAACTTTTAGATTTTTCTGTAGTATGTGTATAGTTTAGCTTTTAGCTAATACCCAGGGCCAACCAACTAAGCTCAGTGAATGTCAAATGTAAACAGGCTCACTTAGCGGAATAGCGAATAAATGAATATTGTGGGGGGTGCATAGTGGTGCATGGTAATCTCACTGGACAAATGATCCTAGACTAATGTCTGGGGTCATGGCTTCAAATCCCAGCATTGAAGAAAAATGTTGGACACTACAGGGAGCAGGGCTACAACTGAACGGCTCTTTCAAAGGGGCAGAATAGCCGCTTGTATTATCTCACTCTGTCATTCTGCAAAGACCCAAATAATGATCGACTCTTGCAAAATATAATGTGCTTTGAAATAGCAGAAGCAACAATTTATCAAATATAGAGACAGATATATTATTCTACATAAAGAACCTTATAGTACAGTGCACTGGGATAAGGGATGTTAATATCATTCTTAGCAAATTGGAATTTTTTTGTGTCCTGGCAAGTTCTTTACAAAACCAATTCAAAAACTACAACAATGTAAAAATTGTCATTTCTTGTACGTGGTAGGATTGAGTTTCTGATTTGGCTGCGATCAGAAAACTCAGCACAAATTAAGAAGTCTGCTTATTATTGCAAGTGAATTTATAGTTCGTTTTGCCACCCCAATTCACTTGTATAACTTCAAATGTAGCACCTTCCGAGAATCAGCACAGTCAGTATAAAAGCATCTTCTTTTTATTCTGTTATGGGCTGTAGGCATCGCTGGCAAGAGCAGTGTTTATTGTCTATCTGTAACTGCCCTTGAATTAAATCACTTGCTTTTCCATTTCTGTTCTGAGCCAACCTCTGTGAGTTGCTACAAAGATACTTCATATTTAATACTTCCTGGAGGATGTAAGTTCTGTAGGAATGTAGAAGAACGGACTTTTGTTTCTAGTTGTGTAGAAAATATCTGGAGTGGTTTATTTAAGAGATCATTGAAAGGTCACTGTGGCCACTGGAGGTTTTTATTTTTTTAAAGGAGGGTTTCTAGAAATCACAAGGCTGGTGATAACTACTTGTTTTGTTGTAGACCTCTGCTGGGACTGCTTGAACAGTAACTGGCTTGGACTGTATTTTTATACCTGGAATTAGTTGAGGGACAAAAAGCATGTGAGGAAGGGATGCCCAGCTCATCTCTCCTATTTTGTGAAAAGAGTTCTCTTGTTGAGTTCAGGATGAAACTCATTGGTTCTTCTGCAACAGTGATTGCAGAAACTTCTCAGTATTGCATTTCCTGAGCAAAAGGGAAAAATAAATGAGATACAACTGGCCAGTTCACTAAAGCAGATTTCACGATCCATAACATCATCAGCACATAGGATTATATCTTTCTTGGTCTCTGACAATTCTGATGCATGCAAATAGCTCCCAATATGCTCCAAGGAATATTCATTTAATTCTTATAACTGAGATTCTAATCTCTGAACATTCAATAACTTGATATTTAGAGAGAGCAATCAACCTTCCATTCTGTTGCTTTCGCAATCACAATCCTTCTGACCCAAAAACAGTCCAAAAACCAGTTCAAATTCTGACCTCTCCCTGCCAAGCTGACACTCTCACATGAGGCCCCAGTTAAATTCAACATCCTGTCTCTGCTTGAGCATAAGGCCTCTCCAGAGTCACAGTGTCCATAGAGCAACCTTTAATAAGAAACAAACTGCAATTAACTTTCAGGCTCGACCTCAAAAACAAATATCAGTTTGTTTGCTCTCTTTTTCTAAAACACAAGCTGCTGCTCACAGTCCGAAGGTCACCTTCAGCTCACAGTTCACAGCTCCAAACCAAGAAACTATAAAAGAAACAGAATAATGAAAAATCAGCAAAGGTTCTAACAGTGTGCACTAGTCAATTCTGTAGTATATCAAGTATTTTTAATTTGTAAAAGTTGCTAAATAGCTTCCTCATCCTTGGTTGTCTTCCTTTCGGATGAGCTCCACTTGAACACTCACTATAAAAGTAATGATTAATGAAAACTTTTCAAACAGTGTGCACAGGGTTGATTTCAGAAGAAAGATTTTTAGCCCGGTTTAAACATAGCGGCAACTGGATTTACTTAATACTTCAACTTTATGGTGCCAATTTGGCTTATCATAGACACCAGTGCAGCCGTACACATGTACAGTGCTGCCAGCCCCTCATCCATGCCAGTGTCCAACATGATCAGAGGTATAGATAGAGTGGACAGCCAGAGACTTTTTCCTAGGGTGGAGGTAGCTTTTACAAGGGGACATAGTTTTAAAGTGAAAGGAGGTAGATATAGGGGAGACGTCAGAGGTAGATTCTTTACTCAGAGAGTGGTAGGGGCGTGGAATGCATTGCCGGAGAGGGTAGTGGAGTCGGCCTCATTAGGGGCATTTAAGCGGTTATTAGATAGGCATATGGATGATAGTATAAGGTAGGGGTGGAGGTTAGATAGACCTTAGGATTAGGGTAAAAGTTCGGCACAACATAGTGGGCTGAAGGGCCTGTACTGTGCTGCACTGTTCTATGTTCTATGTTCTATTCCAACTGTTGCTGAGCTGTAGCAACACAGTCAGTCACTAACATTCTGTGCTTTCTCGTGCCAGACAAGGAGTTCTCACTATAGAAAGGAGTAACAGAAATACTGCTGAGAAGCGAAGTGTGCTAGCACCCCTGAACCCAGCAGAAGAAAGGATGCTTTGCAATGTGGGTTCAGCTACAACAGAGCCTGTAGCATGCAGTTTCATTGAGAGTGTTTTGGATAACTACATGTTGCTGTTTTGTGCCCCTTCTCGACTCACACTATGCCCTTACCCTCCTAGATGGCACAAGGAGGTTGCTGATGGTGTGACCATCATGTTTCACACAGTATCCCCTCCTCTATTACCACCAGCTATCCGGTTCTGATTTGGTGCTTCAGGTCCCCAAGAGCTGCAGCTTGTCCATCCTCAGCAGCCCCAGGCAGAAGAGTGAGAGCTGTACCAGGCTTTCGAGAACGAGGAACCGTCACTTGATCTGAAACTCGCAGGCACTGGCACAGAGACTGCTGCTGCAACAATGTAAGAGACGAGAGTCAGGACCTACACATGTGGTGGGTCATGGCATCTGACAAATACAAAGAAGGTGAAATGAAAACTTCACCCATCCCTACCCACCCAACTTTGGTCTAGGCCCAAAACGTCAGCTTTCCTGCTCCTCTGATGCTGCTTGGCCTGCTGTGTTCATCCAGCTCTACACCTTGTTATCTCACCCAACTTTAATGGTGAGTTTGGTGCATTGGCAATGAGGTGTGAAGACAAGTAGCTAAGGCAAATAAGAACAAAAGAAATAGGAGCAGAAATAGTTCATTCAGCCCCTCAGGCCTGTCCTGCTATTCTATAAGATCATGGCTGATTTGTCCTGGGTCTCGATTCCTCTTTATGGCCAGCTCCTCATAGCCCTGAACTCTTCAACATTTCAAAAATCTATCTTTCGATTCACTCATGAGACATGGGCATCACTGTCTGGGCCCAGCATTTATTGCCCGTCCCTTGATGCCCTTTGAGAAGGTGGTGGTGAGCTGTCTTCTTGAACAGCTACAGTCCATGTGCTGTAGGTAGTCCCACAATGTCGATTGGGAGAAATTTCCAGGATTTTGACCCAGAAACCGTGAAGAATTGGCAATATATTTCCAAGTTGGGATGGTGGAGTGGCTTGAAGGGAAACCTGCAGGTGGTGGTGTTCCCATGTACCTGCTGCCTTCGATGGAAATGATCATGGCTTTGGAAGGTGCTGTCTGAGCATCATTGGTGAATTTCTACAGTGCATCCTGTAGATAGTACATGCTGCTGCTACTGAGTGTCGGTGGTGGAGGAAGTGAATGTTTGTGGATGTGGTGCCAATCAAGTGGGCTGCATCATCCTGGATGGTGTCAAGAAACTCACTAAAGATCCTCAGACAACACCTTCCAAACCCACAATCGCTTCCATCTAGAAGGACAAGTGCAGCAGATACTAGAGAACATGTTACCTTCTGAGACACTCACCATTCAGACTTGGAAATATATCACCGTTCCTTCAGTGTTGCTGGGTCAAAATCCTGGAATTCCCTTCCTAAGGACGTTATGGGTCTACCTACAGCACATGGACTGCAGAGGTTCAAGAAGGCAGCTCACCCCCACCTTCTCAAACCACATTGGCAATAAGTGCTGGTCCAGCCAATCACACAAGTGAATTAAATGAAAGATTCTTGGGTGTTGTTGAAGCTACACCAACAGCTAGGGTCCCAGCACTGATCCCTGTGAACACCACTAGTCACAGGCCTCCAATCCGAAAGGATTCCTAGCCTCTGACCTGCTCTAGTAGCCACTGTGATTGTATGGCAAGTCCCATTGAGTTTCTGGTCAATCATTACCCCCAGGAAGTCAATAGTGAGGGATTCAGCGATGGGAACAACATTGCGTGTCATGGGGCAGTGGAGATTTTCTCTTATTGGACATGGTCGTTGCTTGGCTCTTGTGTGAGGCGATGTTACTCGTTACTCGTTACTTTTCAATCTAAACCTGGATATTGTCCAGATCTTGTTCCATTTAAACATGGACTGCTTCAGTGTCGGAGGAGTTTATGAATGATGCTGAACATTATGTAGTCATAGTCATACAGCATGGAAATGGGCCCTTCAGCCCTAACCTGTCCATGTTGATCAGGTTTCTTAAACTGAACTAGTCCCATGTGTCTGCATTGGCTCATATCCCTCTAAACCTTTCCTAACTGTTCCTGCATCTACCTCTTCAGGTGGCTTGTTCCAGATATGCCAGCCTCTGTGTGAAAAAGTTATCCCTCAGGTCCTTTAAAATATTTCTTCTCTCACATTAAAAATATGCTGTTAGTTTTGAACTCCCCCATCTTAGGGAAAGGACCTTTGCTATTCACCTTATCTATGCCCTTCATGATTTTATAAACCTCTATAAGGTCACTCCTCAGCATCAGCAAACATCCCCAATTCTGACCTTATGATGGAGAGAAGGTTCACATCCTTTTTAAATAATTTCAGTGATCCATGTGATATGAGCACAGTGGTATGTGAGCTAAAATTAGCTCTTTGGTAACTCTTTTCTGAGTGGACTACAGTTGCATAATTTCAACATTCCTCAAGCAACACTGAACACTGACTTTGAAAAAAAATGTTTTATTTTGATAAATACATAACATGGAAACATTCAAAAATAAACAACTGTAAATCCATCATGAAGACTACACTGTTATTTAAGAAAGTGAACAGTAGCCCATTTATTTTCCTTTCCTCTGCAATTGGGGGAAACATAAAATTAAAAGATTATAAGAGTTTCAAATGCAAAGCTGTAGCAGTACTGTAGTGATTGTAACGCGGTTCGCTGGGTGATCCATTGACTATGGAGTTCCCTGATTGGGGCTGTTAACCTGGGCCAATCAGGAAGCCCTGGCTGACAGATATAAACAGGACTGTCAGAGAGACTGCTCACTCTAGGGGCTTGCTCTGAGCAGGATGGTCAGAGTCCATGTACTGTTCACATGTAAATAAAGGGTGACTTGGTGACGAGATACCAGCTTCTGTGCAGTTATGTCAAACACAAAACCTGAAAGAATCATTGTTGAGTGGAATTAAGATGTGTATAAAATGGACAGCACAAATGTGTCTGTCAAAATTGGATTATTACCCAATATAGATTAATGGAGTCATAGAAATGTACAGCATGGATAGACCCTTCTCGGTCCAACATATCCATGCTGACCAGATATCCTAAATTAATCTATTCCAATCTGCCAATATTTGACCCATATCCTCTAAATCCTTCCTATTCATGTACCGATCCAGATGTCTTTTAATAGTTATATTTGTACAAGCCTCCATCACATCCTCTGGCAGATCATTCCACACATGCACCACCCTCTACGTTCAGAAGTTGCCCCTCATGTCCCTTTTAAATCTTTCCCCTCTCACCCTAAACCTATGCCCTCTAGTTTTGGACTCCTCTACCCTGGGGAATAGACCTTGCCTATTCATCCTATCCATGCCTTTCATGATTTTCTAAACTTCTATAAGGTCACCCATCAGCCTGTGACACTCCAGGGAAAATTGCCCCAGTCTATTCAACCTCTCCACGTGGCTCATAACCTCCAACCCTAGCAACATCCTTGTAAATCTTTTCCGAACCCTTTCAAGTTTAACAACATCTTTCCTATAACAGGGAGACCAGAACTGAATGCAGTACTCCAGAAGTGGCCTAACCAATGTCCCATACAGCTGAAACATGGCCTCCCAACTCTTATACTCAATGCACTGACCAATAAAGGCAAGAACACAAATGTCTAATTCGCTATCCTATCTACCTGTGACTCCAGTTTCAATAAACTATGAACCTGCATTCCAAGGTCTCTTTGCTCAGCAGCACTCCCCAGGACCTTACCATTAAGTGTATAAGTCCTGCCCTGATTTGCCTTTCCAAAATGTAGCACCTCACATTTATCTAAATTAAACTCCATCTGCCACTCCTTGGCACATCAGCCTGTCTGACCAAGGTTCTGTTGTGCTCTGAGATAACCTTCTTTGCTGTCCATTACACCACCAATTGTGGTGTCATCTGCAATGTTGTGAAGTTGGGTGAAATATCTGTGAATTGGAAGGCAGGGCTTTAGAATTTGATGTTTGGAAAATGATAGGGAGAAGATTACATGGTCCCTTTAAAAGATGATGTGCTTTTTCTCGGCTTGGAGAGAAACAAAATGTCTGTGAGCAGCTTGTGGATTTGTAGGTGCACAGAGGACACCTGAATTGAAATATTCGTACCAAACGCTGTATAGTTAGCAGTCCAAGCTGCAGTTTTGCTTTGTTATCAAGACAACAAGTTTGAATTTAGCCAATTAATTTAAACCAGGCACTTAGATACAGAAAACCAATTAAATTTAAATCTGATGGCATTGACAATGTAGGACTAATCCTATTGTAAGAAATTGATATGTCATCAAGGGTGTAATAAAGAGGGCATTTGCAAAATCGGCAGAGAACCAACTGTCATCTGATAACAGATAAGCTCTCTCAGCTCTTAGAGAAAGCATCATTTAATTAAGGGTACTGCAGCAACCTTAGCTAATATTCCTGACAAAAGAATTTGATGGAGAAGATGTTCCCGACAGAAGATCAATGGAGAAGGTATAGAACATTCTGGAAGACGTACTCTGGCTATATTTTCGAGGGACTAAATTTGAATATTTTCAATACTATTTTGGTTGATATAAGTGGGACTTGTGTTTATTGGAACAGCATACCATTAAAATTTTGTTTTACTCGGGAATAATTAGTAGTTAAGGGCGGATTGTTTGGTTTGTTAATGGTTCAGTTAATTTGTTCACTGTTAGAGTTAGATAAATACATTGTTACTTGTTGATTATAGAGTGAGTGAAAGGAGTTTTTTTTTCATTTAACCACTCCTTTATAACAGTTTGGGGGTGAGAGGCAGGTTATACCACTTTTCATGCTTCTTTTAACAGATTATAGGGTGAGGCAAGCATCTCTGGATGTTTTGGTTTTAGTTATCACAGGGGGGTCGACCTCTGCTTTATAATAGCAAACGTACTAACCATACCTCCTATTTTTACATTTTTTATCATTTATATAAATCATTTATTCATTTATATAAATGACAAAATGCAGTGGACCCATCACCAATCATTGTGGCACACTGCTGGTCACAGGACTCCAGTCTGAAAAGCAACTCTCCACCATGCGCCCCTGTCTCCTACCTTCAAGCCAGTTCTGTATCCAAATGCTCCAGCATCTGCAGTTCCTACTATCTCTGTATCCAAATGGCTAGTTTTCCCTGTATTCTGTGTGACATAACCTTGCTAACCAGTCTACCATGCGGAACCATGTTGAACCATATCTATATAGATCATGTCCATCAATCTGCCCTCACCAATCCTCATCGTTACCTCTTCAAAAAACTCAATCACGTTAGCGAGAAATGATATCCCATGCACAAAGCCATGTTGATTATCCTTAATCAGTCCTTGCCTTCCAAATACATGTAAATCCTGTCTCTCAAGACCCCTCCAACAACCTGCCCACAACCAATGTAGACTCACCGGTCTACAGTTCCCATTCTGAGAATGGGTCACCAGACCCAAAACGTTAACTCTGATTTTTTCTTCACAGATACTGCCAGACCTGCTGAGCTTTTCCAGCAACTTCTGTTTTAGTTCCTATAGTTCCCTGGTTTTTCCTTACCAACTTTCTTAAATAATGGCACCACGTTAACCAACCTCCAGGCATCTGTCACCTCACCTGTGGCTATCGATGATACAAATATCTAAGCAAGGGGCCCAGCAATCACTTCCCTAGCTTCCCACAGAGTTGTAGGGTACACCTGATCAGGTCCCAGGGATTTATCCAGCTTTACGCATTTTAAGACATCCAGCACCACCTTCAATGATGAATTGTAAATTGTGACAGTTTAACCACAAGACATTCCAATCTTTTAACACTAATATCTTAAATAAATTAGACAGCAGGGCATTCTAACAAAAACCAAATGGTCAATGGAAGCTTATGAAATCGAAATCATTATCTGGGTTGTCAATGCGCTCCATCCATGTGGTTTTCAGCAGGTCCTTAAACGACTCTTTGAACTGGTAGACACGTTCCATCCCAATAGAGTGCATGGGTAACCATTGAAAAGGGGCAGACAGACGTGTGCTATGATGCCCTTTACTGCCTGCTGTCTGACCTGCTGAAGACCACCTTGGCAAGGGTGAGAATCTCGAATCTTCACTGCCATGAACCAAAATGATAACTGAGACAGATTTGATGCATTTATGAACTAATTAAGTACACATTCAATGTGACCAGACCTTGTACAAATCACACCATTACATTTGCATCCCGTAGGAGTTTTGAAGAATACATATGACGTAAAATCTGTTCCTGACTTCGACACTATTTTGTTTCACTTTATAATGTTGGAAGCTAGCTCACATTTTGCTACATTTACTTGTAAAACTAAAGATTCACATTGTGCGAACATTAATAGTTCAAGTTCTCCATTTTAATCTGTTCGGGCAGAGAGCATTCCACATGTCTTCAGTTTGCATTGCTGCTGTCGGATTCTCACTGTAATTTAGGTTATTTCCAAACCAGGCCCCAATACCACCAAGTTTTAATTTCTTCACAATAGACGACTTTAGTGAAAGACTCTCTGGGTCATCATACCAGACCTCATGGTAAACACCTTTATCCTGCCAGAACAACCAACAAGAGTTAGATACAGCTGTTCGGGATCAAAGGGTATGGGGAGAGTCACAGAATCCCTACAATATGGAAGCAGGCCATTCAGCCTATCGAGTCACACTGACCCTCTGAAGAGCATCTTATCCAGACCCACCCCATATCAGTAACCCTGCATTTCCCTTGGTTAATCCATCTAGCGTGCACACCCCTGGACACTCTGGGGCAATTTAGCATTGGTAAATCCATCTAACTTGCACATCTTTGGACTGTGGGAGGAAACCGTAGCACCCACAGGAAACCCACACAGACACAGGGAGAATGTGCAAACTCCACACAGATGCCTGAGGGTAGAATCGGACCCAGGTCTTTGGTGCTGTGAGGCAGTAGTGCTAACCACTGAGCCACCATGCCACCCCAACATTTGAACATGGACAGCTTCAGTATCTAAGGAGTCATGAATGGTGCTGAACATTGTGCAATCGTCAGTGAACATCCCCACTTCTGTCCTTATGATAGAAGGAAGGTCATTGATGAAACGACTGAAGACAGTTGGGCCTAGGACACTCCCCTGAAGAACTCCTCCAGAGATGTCCTGGAGCTGAAATAATGTACAGGATGATCATTCTTTAGCTTTTGGGAAGAGCAGCCTCAAGGTAATTCCCTCTTTTTTACTCCAATGTCTGAAACATTGAACCTTTCTGGTCGTGTTCACCAAATAAACAAAAAGCTTACAGATCAAATGTATTCCCCAAAATTGTCATGTTGCCTGGAATGTTTCACTTCCCAGTGTAAAGTTCAGGAAGTATGGCATGAAGGAAATGAAAAGAAAGTCGAATCAGAGGGCGGCAGAGACGTCACTGAGAGGAATTCTGGGAGACAACACTGCAGTCACCATGACTGGTCTGAATATCACAGAGGAATTGGTGTCAGGGAGTGGTTAAACCTGAAACTCTGTATTAATGTAGCGTTCCCAACCCCGCCTCCTCTAACCAAAAAAAAGGCACTGTGAGGAGGACAGGCAAGGTAAGACTTTTTTTTCAAGTGTCCAAGGGTGGAGATGGCAGTTAGGGTAGTCGTATGCTCTTCCTGTCAGTTGTGGGAAATCAAGGAGCAGTCTAGTGTTCCTGACAACTACATCTGCAGGAAGTGTGACCAGCTGCAGCTCCTCACAGGCCACGTGGTTTGGTCGGAGAAGCAGCTGAACACACTGTGGTGCATACGGGGACAGAGATAGTGATAGACACCAGCTTGAGGGAGGTGGTCATACCACAGGTCCAGACAGATAGTTGGATCACTGCCAGGAGAGGCAGGTTGATGGTGCAGGAATCTCCTGTGGGTATTTGCCCTTCAAACAGGTGTACCATTTTGGATACTGTTGGGGGGAACGAATAGCCTGTCAGGAGATGGTACAAACAGCAGCCAGGCCTGTGGCACCACAATAGGTTCTGCTATAGAGCAGGGTGGGGTAAAGTCCAGGTGAGCGATAGAAGTTAGGTGACTTTATAGTCAGGGGCACAGACAGGCATTTCTGTGAATGAGACTCGAGGGTGGTGTGTTGCCTCTCTGGTGGCAGGGTCCTGGATGTCTCTGAGCAGGTACAGGACATTCTGAAACAGGAGGGAAAACAGACAGAAGTCATTGTCCACATAGACATTGGTAGGAAGAGGGCAGAGGTCCTACGAGGACAATTCAGGGAGTTAGGTAGGGAGCTAAAAAGCAGGACTACCAGTGTAGTAATCTCAGGATTACTAACTGTGCTGTGGGCTAGTGAGGCTAGGAACAGAGAGACAGTACAGTTGAACACGTGGCTACAGAGCTGGTGTAGGAGGGAAGGTTTTAGATATATAGAACATAGAACAGTATAGCACAGTACAGGCCCTTCGGCCCACGACGGTGTGCTGAACTTTTACCCTAATCCTAAGGTCTATCTAACCTCCACCCCTACCTTATACTATCATCCATATGCCTATGTAATAGCCACTTAAATGCCCCTAATGAGGCCAACTCCACTACCCTCTCCGGCAATGCATTCCACGCCCCGACCACTCTCTGAGTGGATCATTGGGATGTCTTCAGGGAAAGGTGGGACCTGTACAAGAAGGACGGGTTGCACCTGAACTGGCGGGGCCCCAATATCCCGGGCGGGAGGCTTGTTCGAGCTCTTCGGGAGGGTTTAAACGAGTGTGGCAGGGGGGTGGGAACCGGAACAACAGGCCAGTGAGTGCAGGGACTTAAGACAAAGGAAAGACTATATGCATAGTGCAGAGTGAGAGCAGGCCGAAGGATGTCACAGGGCTCAGAGGGACTGGAGGTCTGGAGTGCATTTACTTCATTGCAAGAAGTGTAACAGATAAGACAGATGAACTAAGAGTATGGATTACAGCATGGCATTATGATGTTATTGCCATTACAGAGGCATGGTTAAAGGAGGCGCAGGATTGGCAACTTAACATTCCAGGATATCGCTGTTTTAGATGGGATAGAAAGGGAAACAAAAGGGGTGGGGGAGTCAAATTGCTCATTAGAGGTCACACTACAGCTGTGTTGAGGGAGGACACATTGGAGGGTTCTTACATCGAGGCATTATGAGTGGAGCTCAGGAATAGGAAGGGTGAAATCATAATGTTGGGAGTTTTCAATAGACCTCCCTACAGCCCACATTAGACAGAGGAGTGGATATGTAGTCCGATACTAGAAAGGTGTGAAAAAAGAGGTTAGCTGTGGTGGGTGACTTCAACCTTCCTCTTAATGACTGTGACTCCCCTAGAGCTAGGGGCTTGGATAGAGAGCAATTTGTTAGATGCATCCAGGAGGGCTCTTTGAGACAATATGTTGACAATCCAACCAGAGAGAAGGCCATACTAGACTTTGTATTAGGAAATGAGCCAAACAGATGATCAAAGTTTCAGTAGGAGGGCATTTTGGACTTAGTGACCATAACTCCATAAGATTTCAAGTAGTCATGGAAAAGGACAAGATTGACACTCGGGTGAGGGTGATTTTTTTCTATTCATTTGTGGGATCTGGGCGTCGCTGGCTGGGCCCAGCATTTCTTGCCCATCCCTAGTTACCCCTTGAGAAGGTGGTGGTGAGCTGCTTTCTTGAACCGCTGGATTGACCCACAATGCCCCTAGGGAGGGAATTCCAGGATTTTGACCCAGCGACAGTGAAGGAACGGCGATATATTTCCAAGCCAGGATGGTGAGTGACTTGGAGGGAAACTTGGAGGTGGTGGTGTTCCCATATATCTGATGCCCTTGTCCTTCTAGATGGAAATGATCGTGGGTTTGGAAGGTGCTGTCGGAGGATCTTTGGTGAATTTCTGCAGCGCATCTTGTAGATAGTACACACTGCTGCTACTGTTGGCGGTGGTGGAGGTAATGGATGTTTGTGGATGTAGTGCCAATCAAGCGGGAGCTGCTTTGTCCTGGATGGTGTCAAGCTTCTTGAGTGTTGTTGGGGCTGCACTCATCCAGGCAAGTGGGGAGTATTCCATCACACTCCTCACTTGTGCCTTGTGGATGGTGGACAGGCTTTGAGGAGTAAGAAGTTGAGTTACATGCCACAGTATTCCCAGCTTCTGGCCCGGTCTTGGAGCCACTGTGTTTATGTGGTGAGTCCAGTTGAGTTTCTGGTCAATGGTAACCCCCAGGATGTTGACAGTGGGGAATTCAGTGATGGTAACACCATTGAATGTCAAGGGACAGTGGTTAGATTGTCTCTTATTGGTGATGGTCACAGCCTGGCATTTGTGTGGCGCGAATGTCACTTGCCAATTGTCAGCCCAAGCCTGGATATTGTCCAAATCTTGTTGCATGTGAACATGGACTGCTTTAGTATCTGAGGAGTCACGAATGGCGCTGACCATTGTGCAAACATTGGCGAATATCCCCACTTCTGAGCTTATGATGGAGGGAAGGTCATTGATGAAGCAGCTGAAGATGGTTGGGCCGAGGACACTACCCTGAGGAACTCCTGCAGAGATGTCCTGGAGCTAGGATGATTGACCTCCCACAACCACGACCATCTTCCAATGTGTCAGGTATGACTCCAACCACTGGAGAGTTTGCCCCCTGATACCCATTGATTGCAGTTTTGCCAGGGCTCCTTGATACCACATTCGATCGAATGCAGACTTGATATCAAGGGCTGTCACTCTCACCTCACCTCTGGAATTTAGCTCTTTTGTCCATGTTTGAACCAAGGCTGTAATGAGGTCAGGAGCTGAGTGGCCCTGGCGGAACCCAAACTGGGCTTCACTGAGCAGGTTATTGCTGAGCAGGTGCTGCTTGGTAGCGCTGTTACTGACAACTTCCATCACTTTACTGATGATCGAGAGTAGACTGATGGGGCGGTAATTGGCCGGGTTGGATTTGTCCTGCTTTTTGTGTACAGGACATGGGAAATTTTCCACATTGTCGGGTGGATACCAGTGTTGTATCTGTACTGGAACAGCTTGGCTCGGGGAGCGGCAAATTCTGGAGCACAAGTCTTCAGTACTATTGCCGGAATGTTGTCAGGGCCTGTAGCTTTTGCAATATCCAGTGTCTCTAACCTTTTCTTGATACCACGTGGAGTGAATCGAATTGGCTGAAGACTGGTATCTGTGATGCTGGGGACCAGTGGAGGAGGCCTAGATGGATCATCCACTCGGCACTTCTGGCTGAAGATTGCTGCGAATGCTTCAGCCGTATCTTTTGCACTGATGTGCTGGGCTCTTCCATCATTGAGGATGGGGACATTTGTGGAGCCTCCTCCTCCAGTGAGTTGTTTAATTGTCCATCACCATTCACAACTGGATGTGGTAGGACTGCAGAGATAGATCTGATCCGTTCGTTTTGGGATCGCTTAGCTCTGTCTATCACTTGCTGCTTTCGCTGTTTGGTGTGCAAGTAGTCCTGTTTGGTGGTTTCACCAGATTGATACCTCATCTTCAGGTATGCCTGGTGCTGCTCCTGGCATACCCTCCTGCAGTCTCCATTGAACCAGGGTTGATTCCCTGGCTTGA